TACTGTAATTTTATTAAATCTCTATTAGTGCATACTGAGATTGCTGCTGGTTTTTTTCTGATAAATATGGCCATTTGCTTCATTTATTAATCAAAATCTTCTGATGTAAACAACTCTGCTTGACACTTTCATTGGGATACATTGCTATAAATAAATATTCCCAGAACTTTTGATACACACTATCAAATTAACCCCAAGAAAGATGGTAACAATTTCATTTTCATCAGCAATGCATAAAGCTCCTATTTCCTGAAACATCTCCACAAATAAGTGACAGATATATATGTAAATACATAATATACAGAGTCACATATATAAATTTAGTATAATTGGTATCTAATTCTCATTCAAATTGGCTTTGTTTAATTACCCCTAAACTTGAATAAATATTTTGAAAGCTTTGCATGTATTCTAGTAAAGGCTCTAAATGACCCATACAATTGCAAATCTGCACACATGCACAACACTTTCTTTTTGGAAACAAAACTTGAATTTTGTTTTGACCTGTTAGCCGACTGCTCTAAGTAATACATCTTGACTCAAGATAATTTTATTTATCTTCCCAAGACGCATTTATGAATAGGTACATGAAGCTACTTTCTGCCAATGAAACGTGAAAAGAAATCTACTGGGATTGAATTTCTGATAGTTATCACTGGTCTTAAGAAGGAATGGTAATTTCCCTTCTAAATTTGGGAGGAGATAGTGAAACTATTACAGTCTTTCTTGGGGATAACTTGACAGCATGTACCAAAAGGTCTAGAAATATTTATTTCCAGCAGCTTATCCCAAGATCTGAAGTTTAGAGTTGTTTCAGCAATTTTGAGACTTGAGAAGATGCAGGATTTCTTCTCAGTTACCTTGAAGAAAGAAAACAAGACCCTAAGACATTCCAGTGTCCTTTAAAAATATATGGAAAAAACTACTCATAAGTATGCACTAAGTCTTTAAGATAAAAATAATATAAAACGTTAGGGTGATAAAGAAAAATGTCCAGTTATTTTCTGACCCAAATGGGGAGACAGTGGGGCTACCAAACTAGCCTCTACAGTTTTGTAAATGCTAATGCATTATAATGAGCTGCCTTCCTTATGTAAAATTTAATTGTTATTCCAAATGCACAACTCCAATAATAGAGTGTACAGAAATATTAACAAGCCTTTTATGATGAATTTGGGTCAAGGGCAACACAGTACTTAATAGGTTTGTGCACGAAATCCCTAGGGCAAGCTCCATAATTTATCCTCGCTGTTCTACAGCCCCTAACGTGATTTGGAGTTTTTATAATAGAGGCTGAAATACAAAAGAGCTGCCACTTACACCCAACAAAAGACCAAACATGCAACATATCCTTCCGATTTATTTCTATCATGAAGTTTAAGGTAAACTTGGGATAATCTCCTGAAGATATATTTCCTGGATTTACTACACATTGGCATTATTTTAGCATTATTACTTTTAGTAGGACATGAGGAAAAACTAAACTTAATGTAAGAAGCTAAACTGCAATCTTTCTTTAGAGGGATCGATTAAGTTTGTTCTCTTCTGTTGACTTTCACATGGTACCTGATGGGCAAAGCTACCTGATCCAAAGGTGTCTGAGCAAGTAATATAACTTTCCATAATTTCTTCAATTCAGTTTGATGAATAATTCAGAGCCCCTGTTCTTCCACGGAAATTTCTTGGTTGTTTCGAGCATTCTCTACTTTCATCAGGGTGTATCACGGCTCCAGAGATTTCCAATTAATCACAGCATGGACAGAGAGGGAGTAATCTGGCCCTGGCCCAGGGGACACTCTAGGTCATCATGGAGATGAGCTACGCCTCTGTAGAAGCCAGGTCCTGCAGCAGCCTGGCCATCCTAGAAGGCTCGGGATCTCCCACAGAGACCTCTGCCGCCCTCTTGCTCTGTGTCTTGTGAGTTCATAGTGCAGCTCTGAAAACAGGACCCTTCCTTCAAATGCTGTTCACGTCTTTGCCTGCATTAGTTCCTCAATTCCGCGTCACTCATGACAGCTTAGGGGAATTCTTCTCTAGTCCTCAAAAGAAGGTTTTTCTCTTCTCATTACCCTGTAATATTCTCCCACCTGCCAGCTCCTTCTATTCTGCACTAAAGCAGTAAACGTCAAACCTGACTGCACATTCAAAGCATTTGTAAGTCTGAGCAAATGTGACCTCAATGCTGCATCATAGCCCTAAACCCAAGGATATTAAAACCCCTAAGAATGCATCCCAGGCCCTGATACCTTATTTTATTTTATATTGTACTTGATTTATAATGTCTCAATTATTTCTACCTTGAAGTGAGAACTGGCCATCTCCACCTGGATGGATTAAAAATTCTGGAACCCTACTTCTGACACAGTCACATATCCTTTCTGGGGAACAGAAGAGGAAGGAAAAGAAACTAATTATCTAAGTGAAAAGAAGAAAAATGGCAAAGACATCGAAACAAAGGCAAGCATCTCATGACTCCCATCAGACCTGCTAGGTGGGTTTTGGGATATTCAAAGGTACACGGCTTAATTTCACTTTTATTATCTGATTTACCAGCAAGTTTTTTCTGATAAACAAAAACAGTACTGTAATCTATGAAGCTTTGGATGTAGCATTTTTACTATCATTTTTTTTTCTTTGAAAAGCAAAACAAAAAAGAAAAAAAATGTAAAATTTCAAAAAATAGCAAATTAATACTAGTTAATATATTTCATATTGTAATACTAAAGGTACTTGCTCAGATTATGATATTTTAAAATAATTAATCAAATGAGATAACTGATCAAACAAACAATGAAAACACTGATCTTTTTGATGAACTTACACAGATTAATAGTTTAGTTGTCTATCTTGCATATATATAAATATGTATTTATATATACATGTAAATAAATATATATACATATAATATTTCCCCTTCTTTCTTGTCTCATTTCCCCTATCCCAGTTGTTCCTTCATTTTGATTGCTTTCTTTCTTTTTCATTATCACAGTATCTATTCTACATTTTGGATATTATTACTTTTTCAGCTATTTTTTTCACTAGGGAGACAATACAATATCTACATATGTGAGTCTGATTTATCTCACTTATGAGAATGGCCTCAAGTTGTAGCCATTCACCTATAAGCCTCAAGTTTACTCTTCTTTATAGCCAAGTGATATACCATTGTATAGAAATACCACATCTTTTTTATCCATTCCTCAGTTGGCAGGCATTTGAGTTGTTTCCAAGATTTAGCTAGTACAAACTGTGCTGCTATAAATAGATGCACATCATTGTGGTATGATGTTTTTAATTCTTTTCGGAAGATGCCCAGAAGGGGAATAGCTGGATTGAATAGAATTTCCAATCTTAGTTTTTTTGAGTAATCTCCACACTGATTTCCCCAGTGGTCGAACTAGTCTACACTTCCAGCTACAGCAGAGAAGGGATCCTTCTTCCCCACAGCCCCGCCAGCATCTGTTGGTGGTGGGCTCCTGGTGACAGCCATTTTTGAACTACAGTGAAATGGACTGTAGGCCCACGACCTGTGTGTGATGCACAGTGATTCTGTTCAGCGTGGGGGTTGATGCATCTTGCCATCTTCACTCCCCTGACCCTGCTGCCTGCTTACACCTGCTTTCCTCTTCACCAGCATCACCTCTTCAGAGACCCAAAGCCAAGTCAATGTCCAGCAACTTGCCCCTAAGGTGAACCAGTCTCCAAAACTAATCAAGATAGTCATCCAAAGCAAACACAAGGTGTGTGCTCAGAAGAAAAGGACAATCCACGAATAATTTAGGATCCCACATTATCAAGTTAGAGAACATTCTATCTAGTTCCACATCGTATGCCTCTGCTCAGCGAGAAAACTTCAAGTATTGCACGATGGAAAATGTTCTCTACTTCATCACCTCTGGGCAGAAGCTGTGCTCCAGAAACCTCACCTAAACTTTCCAACAACTCACTCTTACTCCGAAGGCATTTAAACAGTTGCCTAACCTCTTTGCATTATGAGGTGCTTACTCCAAGCCCTTAAATTAATAGATTAGTGTATTTTACTCTTTAAGCCTTCTCTGTTTCAAATACATGTTTTTCCAAACTTGTGCTTCATGCCAACATCAAGAAAATAAAAACCCCTTTAGTGAGGTAATAGAAATCACATGAGACATTGGTTATCTCACTTTTTCCCTTTATGTCTTGCCTCCACAGGAAATTTTTGGCACAAAAATGAGTGCTTACCCATTACCGTCAAGCGCCTGTCTTACTGTGCACACTTTCTTTGTAAATCACAGGGACCCTGCTTTCAAACTGCTTGCATCACTAATGATAACATCTTATCAAACAGCCAAAGCATGAGGAGTTTAACTGGAATACCGGAACGTTAGAGCCCAAGAAATCAGCAGATTGACCACTCCAAAACCGAAAAGAATACAGGAAAGAACAAACCCCATAAAATGCTAATCAGTGACTTTTCCAGTTATAGACTTTATAAAAGAACAAGTGTAGCTAAGAAGTCCCTTACAGCAGATAAAATGATCCAAGCTCCAATTAATTTCAAGGCCACAAAATGTCCTCCATTGTCAAAGGCCAAACCCTTCCATGCGATACCTGACCAACAAGCACTCTGGCTGCCTACTTCAATGTAATGCTATTTTTCTCAAAGTTAATTTCTCACATAGTAAAACATTTAATTATAATGGAAGAAAAAATAGCCTGAATCTATTTTTAAAACTCATATATCTAAGCTCCTCAGTGTTACCATAGGCAACTGGGACTTCAATTTCAAACCACACACTCATACATGTATGCACACAGGTACACAGGCAGAAATACTGGGTGTGGAAATCAGTTATGCAGACGAACTTTCTCATATTATTAGTTCTCTTTCAAATGTGGGGGTGAAATTATGGAAGAGAGTTATTTAAGTAAAAGTATTTTTGCATACTAGGTGCTAAATGTAGCAATACAGATACGGTGCAGAGGGAACAAATTAGAAAACATTGCTTTGTCATGCTCACCTGTGCAAGAGAAGTCATCTACACGAATGTAACCCGGGACACAGTCACAGCGGTATAAGCCTGGCAGGTTCACACATACAGTATTGGCATGACAGTAATGCATCTTAGCAGCACATTCATCAATATCTGGAAGGAAAAAAAAAAAGAATATCTGTTTAGTCAAGAAATTAAAACAAAGTGGGATCATCTTACAACGAAATTACAAAAGGCAAATGCTCACTGAAGTCAAGAGAAAAAAGAGACGCAGTAAAACCAAAGCCCAAGCACAAGTTAAGTGGTGCATTAGATCCTATCCTGAGTGAAAAGTGCTTCTAGGAAAATGCATGTGAGACGTAACAGTGAAGAGTCCAGGAAGGATGAAGACAAAATCAATTATTCATCTCTAACCAAGGAGGCGATTGTAGCTAAAGATTCAAAATCAAGGAGTTCTGCCTCCCGTGAGCTGATACCAGTTAATATTTATTGAGCATCTACACTACATAGAAAGCTTTTATTAGAGAGACCAAAAGAATCTAGACCCTCTCTGCTCGTGTAGAGCCAAGACATGCTCTAACCCACCTATTAGGAAATGTTGCTGCAGCCATTTCTTCCTCTGTTGAGAACAGAGACAGCAGCTGTGTTCTAACGCAAGTCAGTGCTTTCATCCTTTGGCCTGGGGACCCAGCCCACGTGATAGAATAACAGGCTGACTCCACAAAAACTGCTGTTCTCTTTGGCACAGAAGTCAGAGTACCATCTATTTTTTTCCATAAAAGTTTATGATAAGAACTTACAACTTTCAGTAGACAGAATATTTTTCTGGAAATTATGAGTTCAAAAATGGATTTAGGATCATTTTATTCTAATTGCTGATAAGGGATGATGACAGAGGCAGATTATAGCACAGAAACCCAAGATGGAAAATGTGAGCTCTGTTTGTGGCTTCACTATTTAACAGCCAATGACTTGCATTTACCCTCAGTACCCGGGATTCCCATCAGTTTGTTCTCAGGATCAGTTCTGAATCTAAAGTTCTGTGTCTTTGAAGACATCATCCAACTTGATAAAAATGCAAATCCTTGAACGAATTACAAACATTTGTAAATTCTAGCAAAGCAATATTCAGAGAAGTTAAATACCTGACACAAAATCACCTACTGCACTCAGATATGCTGTATTTTGGGATTGAACTCATAGACCAATGTCTTATTCACTATTATTTACTTCAAAAACACTCGCTGACAATGCTAGTTTGTCAAATAGTGTTTCAGTGAAGATAATCACTAATGTTCTACCACCCTTAATACACAGAAACTAAGGATAAAAATGACTACATTGGATCACTAGAAAACTCATTTTTATATTTATTATTAAGAGAAAAATATATTGATTTGTTTCCTAATAAAACACGCTGATATAACAGCAGACCATATTCAGTGTTAAAGACTTAGGTAGGGCTGTAAATAAAAACTACTTTTGTATCATTGAGATCTTAAAAAGAGACCCACGGATAGCAAGAGTCTTGTAACCATGATATGAGACACAACACTAGAAATTGGTGACAGGACTCAGGTAATCAACAATTTCCTGCGCTGGTCTTCATCTCACGGTTGCTTCCAGGGGACCCAACCCAGAGCCAGAATCCTGAGGGAAGCAAGGAATTACTGCAGTGATGGTGCTAGAACACACAAGCTAAAAGATGGAATCACAGAATATTAAGATTAAGGAACATAGAAGGGCAGAAAGAGTGAAGTACTGAGAGTGACAGTTTGGATACCCAGGAGGAACCAGGTGTTGGGAAAGTTTGGTCTGGATTACTGATGTCCATAAAATCTCACCCATTTTCAGAGAACACAAATGAACCTCTCCACTCTCTCTTAATAAAAGCCTGACCATATGACCGAGCATGGAATCTGAGCACAGGCACTCAAGTATCACTTCTAGGTACAAGGTCCAAGCCAGTATCTGGCTTAGCACATTTTCCTATTCTTGTCTTCCACATCACAGAAGTGCAGAGTTGAATAGTCCTTCCTGCTGGGGCTCTAGGTGAGAAACTGGCCACCTGGCTGAACTGTTGAATCTGTTATATAACCTAGAAATGTATTCTTATGGAGTTAAGACATTGAGCCTCCTCTGACTACTACAAAGGTAACTGTGAAAGGCAACTCAAAGAAAAAGATCACAAAGATTGATCTGAAAAGGTAAATCAGAATTCACCAAGTAGAGAATGAAGATGCGTACCCAGAAGGACACCTTGGAGACTAAATTTTTCTCTGTAGATTTATGAAAGGGGAGAATCACTTAATTATGACTCCCAAAGAGTATTAGTTAAGCTGCTACCAAGGCCAGAAGCAAAGTGATGAACAAAATGCCATCCTAGGTTTCAACTGCCTAACAAATGATTGAAACAAAACTATGACAATTCCAAGAAAGGATATGAGACCCTTTAACAAGGGGATTTGACCTCCCAGAGGGTCAGAGAAGTATTCTCTATGGAAATGATGCTCCATCTGTGATCTGAAATAGAAGTGAAACAGAGACAAGGAAGAGAAACAACACAGCAAACAGAGAACCTTCCAGAAGACTTGGTTACAGGCAGGAACTGTGCTTGTTTGAGATGTGACTCAAAAGACAAGGTTAAGACACATCCTGCCAGGTCCTGGGGGTCACATGTAGAAGCCAGCACTTTCATCAGGGCAGGGACACAATCTGATTTCTGTTTGTAAAGTATCACTCCAGCTGCAATGAGGACAATGGATTGAGCATCGCATGCTAAACCATAAATCACCTTGGTCTTTCCCTCACAGGAACATAGTCACACAAAGGTCTGCCTTGTACTGCTGAGGGGCCCAGCCATTCTACAAGATGAGAACCTAGGCAGGACTTGCCTTGAAGGTAATTCAGTCTTCACCCACCAGCCACAACTTGCGAGCAGGCTGCTGACAGCAATGACTGTGTCCCTGTCAAGGATCCTTGTCTGCTCCTCCCAGAGGACCCTCCTGTGGTCTCTCTGCAACCACTGAGAGTCCCCAGCTCACCCTGGTTTGAAGAAGTTACTTAGTCGGATGCAAATCAAACAGGCCATCCCCTTGTTTCATGGCACTCTAAGGACTTGAATCAAGATGTTTTCAAAAAATAGACAAAGGGATACTGAGAAAACGTCAAGAAGAATTGCTCATATAGATTTAACCCAATCTTTGTCCTCTGCCAACCATCCCGGACCCTGTGGCCAAACATCCTTGCTGCTCGCATGGTTTGGCTGAGAGTACATTTTGTGTCCAGTTCACAACATTTGTAATTTTGGCAGAACTAAACTGAAGCTAAAAAGCTGAAAAATGAACTGGAAAATTAAACTACCATGATCTTATCTTTGCTGCTTATCCTTCATCAGGAAAGGACATATAAAAGACACAGCCCAGTATAAATGGTGGTTAACAAATGGGAGAATCATTCAGCTGAGTCTCTAGAAGATGAAAGAAATGGAAGAAACTGCAAACTTATACTTTCAGAATAAGGAAGAAGGTGGCAGAGTGACAGATTCACCAAAATAAAGATTGCTTCTTCGTATCAGAAGATGTAGCCCAGCAGATAGTTTCAACAGGATTCAGGAGTGCTTCAAAAAAGAATCTGATTACAAGAGTCAAGACAGAATTAGCATCTTCAGAGACATGGTCTGCCTGAAGAAAATGACCTCCAGAAGAGAAAACACTGATTTTTAAAATGAGCTAAGACAACGCTGCTTTGTTCACAGAAGTAGAGAGACTCTGAGAGGTAATGGATAATTACAAAGTAGGGGAAAAAGACCTCAACTCCCTGCTGGAAGAATAAACCATTGCCAGCGACAGAGATCCGGTGGCCACAAAGCCATGGGGACTGTAACCACAGACCTGAGCTAACTCCTGGGTGCTGAACAGGGGGCTGAGGTGCTGCCTCTCCCAAGGTGATGGTCACCCAGACCAAAGGCAAGAAGGGGAAAAGCCAAAGTCTGGAGCTCAGGGCAGATGCTGAATCCATTCAAGTTCAGTCTCAAGCTAAACATCTGAATCAGCCCTCCCTACAAAAAAAAAAGTTTCTAGGAAGAACCACAATGAGCTTGAAATCGACATAATACAAGCAGACTTCAAAGACACTTCTTTAGCTACAGAGTTATTAAGATGAGCAAGCGGCTAAACAGCATGTACATTGTACACAAAACAGAACAAGAAACAGTGCCTGGCAGCTGACATTCCAAGTGCCTGTGATTTTTAGGTGTCAGACACTGGGCTAGGGACTCTACAGAGAATATCTCATCATTCAACTTAGACTTGACTACTCTACAAGATTGGTATCCCCATGCCAGGATGGATAAACTGAGTTACAATGATTCTTAGATCACTTAGAACCCAAGGCACAAAACCATTCAACATAAAATTTGGATTTGCATCCAGGAAGTCCACTTCCGAAGCTGGCAGTTTCTGCCGTGCGAAGTTTTGACATGCAGTAACACTGCTGAGCTATAGCGATGTTTACTATGCCCCAAGGTGCCATGATATCTAGGAAAACAAGCAGACTTCCAAACTCCCAAGCCTGTGTGCAGCATCCTCAGAATATTTATTCCAGAGTACCATCCTGGTTAAGGTGTTAGTGTGGACCCATCCACCACTGCTTCCTTGGCTCTATTAATCAAATTCCAACATTTTCACATACTGGAATCCAGTAACCCCAGGCCCCTGAGCAGGCAGATACGAGCATTCTGTCTGCAGTGGGAATGCGTAGCCTGGCACGGCCCCTTTCACAGGAGCTTGGTGTCTCCTATAGGATAGGAAGTTAGTGATACAGAAGCCTAGGTTTTTATAATACTGTTAAATATTGTTAAATAAACATTTATAACCCTTTTTGCTGTATGTATCAGCTGGAGTGTAGTGGAGCTCCAGTTGTGATTTATTCTTATAAATTGCTTGTCACCTTAGAAATATCAGAGCTTATCATCTGGTGGTCTTTGGAAATAATAAAAACACATGATTTACATCCCCAGGATTGCAAAGTACTTTGTTTCCATTTTTAAAAGGTGTATTTACAGACTTCACAATGAATCTTGATGTGGCATAATAGTTCTTCACATACCATCAGCCACCACCCGCATAGACGTTCAGAGCAAACTCAGACCC